TGTGCTTTATTGACTACGCAAAGGCTTTCTATTGTTTGGATCATGACAAACTATGAACAACACTGTGAAGTATGAGTATTCCTGAACACTTAATTGTGCTCATGAGGAATCTTACATGGACCAAGAGGCAGTTGTTCGAACAGAACCTGAGAACACTGAATGGTTTAAAATTTAAAAAGGTGTGCAACAGGGTTGTAGTCTTTCGCCGTACTATTCAACCTGTGTGCCGAGCAAATCATCTGAGAAGCTGGGTTACATGAAGAAAAACATGGCATCAGGATTGGAGGAAGACTCATTAACAATCTGCGATATGCAGATGGCACAACCTTGCTTGCTGAAAGTGAAGAAGACTTAAACTATTTACTGATGAATATCAAAGAGCACAACCTTCAGTATGGATTGCATTTCAATATAAAGAAAACAAAAATCCTTACCACTGGACCAATAAACAATATTCTTATCAATGGCAAAAAGACTGAAGTTGTCAAGGACTTCATTCTTCTTGGATCAACTACCAACACTCACAGAAGCAGCAGTCAAGAAATCAAACAATGTATTGCATTAGGCAAATCTGCTCCACAAGATCTTTTTAAAGTGTTGAAGAACAAAGATGTCAGCTTGAGGGCTAAGGTGTGCCTGCCCCAAGGCATGGCACTTTCAATAACCTCATATGCATGTGAAAGCTGGACAGTGAATAAAGAAGACCACCGTAGAAGAATTGATGCTTTTGAGTTATGGTGTTGGAGGAGAATACTGAAAGTGCCATGGGCTGCCAAAAGAACCAAAAGATCTGTGTTATAAGAAGTGCAGCCAGAGTGCTTCTTGGAGGCCAGGATGGCCAAACTTCGTCTCTCATACTTTGGATATATTGTTAGGAGGGACCAGTCGCTGGGGAAGGATATCATGTTTGGTAGGGTGGAGGGTCAGAGAAAAAGAGAAAGACCCCTAGAAAGATGTATTGGCAAAGTGGCTCAAGTGTGGCAACAATGGTGAGGTTGGCCCAGGATTGGGCAGTGTTTCGTTCTGCTGTGCATAAGGTCACTATGAGTCGGTACCAACTCAATGGCACCTAACAACAACAACAACTTACTCCTTAAATAACAAATACATAATTATTCATCTTCCTATGACAGATGAGCAATCAGGTCAGGATACTTTTCATATTGTGCAAGTAATCTCTCTCACAAAGAGAAAAAAGGCATAGGAAGATGTCTCTCAGAAAGAATCAAAGTGGTACTTCCCTGAGTCTGCAGAACTCCATAATGGTTTGTATTTGCTTATTGTACCAAATAGTCATTGAAGTTGTTTCTTTTCAATTTCTTTTTCTATGAGGGCTTCAAAGAGTGTTTGAAAATGGAATAAAGATAATGGAATTTTTCCATGAACTTTCTGAAGTTCCCTTGAATTAGCAAAGAAAATTAAATTTTCCAATAATAAACAGATACTGTACCTGTAACTCTTAGTCCTGAAGAATGCATCTTTATTTGTCTTACTATTTTCTGAGATTCATAAGGAAGAAATAATTGACTGTTTGGGTGGTTTTTATTCAATACAAGTACATGTTCATCTGTTTCACATATTCTAAATAGAAGAGCGAATTTAAAAGACTTTTTTAAAAATGTTAAAAATATTTTAAACCTGAGCTTTATCCACAAATAGCATGCTTTAGGTTCTCGATTACCACAAACTTTAAAATTATTCACAAACCAATCAACTAGCATGATCACAGAAATCATTAAAACAATATTATCATCATAAATGAATCTTTAAAGTTTATTAAGTTTCACTGAGTTTTTCCTAAATTAAAGAAGTAGAATAACACTACCAAAATATATTTTGACTAAAAATTACTAACTTTGTAAATTCGCTTCAGTATACAAAAATGTTTTTTAAAATTGTCAACAAATTCTATACATTGATTAATTTCTTCATTCAATTTCATTATAAAATTAAAAATGCATTACCATACATTTGAGATGTAGGAGTGAGGAAATCAAGGAAAATAATGGGTTAGGGAAATTAACTTGAGAAAGGAGTGTGCTGAAAAATCTGAATAAGGGTAATAGGGCTTTAGGAAAGGAATTTAACAACAATAAAAACAGGTACTGACAGAAAGAGAAAAAGTAGAAAGATGATCAGGAATAGCAATCTGTTTTTCTGTCTCCACCACCTCTCCTGCCACCACTGATGCTTATTTTATCACCACAGACACAAACCAGGGTAAAAGTGAAGGAAGCATATTAAGCCACAGATTCAGTAGCATCCTTTAGGTCACCTTCACTCTCTGTGGCAAAGGAAAATTGGTCAAACTGGTGACAGGGTAATAAAAAGGGAAATATATTGCTACTTCTACCATTGTTTCTCCTTTTACTTCTAATCCTGATCCATCATGGAAAACTGGATGAAATGTACAACTGACAGATTATGGAAAAACAGATATACTACTGATTTCCTATTTCTCTCTACAAACTATCCTTGGCTTTACTAAATAACAAACCATTTTAAATATTAGTTCATGATATTTAAAGCTATAAATGAACATATTTTATAAGAAATGAGTAGAAAACGGCCTACACAGAAATTTACTTATACATATTATGGAGATTCATTGGTTGGGTTAGAGTATAAAATCTAACTTTTAGACTCAGAATAAAATCGCACATAAAATCCAGTGTAAAAATTTACTTATACCTTTCTTTTAATTCCTTTCTTTTTTCTATAGTGCTAGTCTTTTCTTCCAGAGTTTCTGAAAGCTTCTTAGTTTCATAAAGTCTTGTAATCTGCTAAAAAGAAAAGTGACCAGAAATAAACCAAAATAATTACCTGCAAAGTATTAAGGAGCATATTTTATTTAACTAATAAAATTGTATTTTTTCTATATATCATAAAATTTATATTTTGATAGTACTTGGCATCTATTATTGAAAGTTGCTAAAACAGACTAAAAATTAACAATAAATTACATTGTTTTTGTTTTTCCTTACAACTCTATTAGCAAAACTAGATTTCAATGAACTTTTATCTTATCTTTAAAAAAGGAAAATTAAGAGTAGATGTTGATTACTTACATAGGCATAAAGTTACCATATATATTTTTAATGAAACCTACTTTCTTCACAATATTAGAATGATATTGTTATTATATTGATACTTCCTACCTATGAATACTAAATATGCAAACTTTAATTAATTTTTTTTAATTCTAGAAAATTATATTCAAGTCTTTCTCACAACTTGGAAGTGACTTTGATGGTTCTAAGACCTATGCAAACGAAAGTCACTACAGTTCAGTGGGAGTCTGGTGTGGCACTGTGGGTTAATGTGCTGGACTGCAAAGTCTGTTTGAAACACAAGGTCGGCCGTTCAAGCTCACCAGCTGCTCATCAGAAACCCTATACAGGTTTGCTATGGATCAGAACTGACTTGACAGCATTTCACAACAACAATAATTCACTGACACTAACAGCGTATTCAAGAAAATATCATGCAACATCATTTTGAAGGCTAAACTAGTTCTAGTGTAGCTATATGAAAATTATAATAAGTTTATCAAGACTAAGTTCTTTTAATGATTTATTCTCTTTTTTCCTTTTGATGAGACTTATGTAACTTTTTAAATGCTTCTAAATTCCTGTTTTGACACTATATTTTACAACCATGGTCTTTCTTCAACCCTCATGAAAATGAAAATGTTTCCTAAAGCTCATAGAGTTTAAAATATTCAGTAGCTAAAACACATTTTGGCTCCAAAGGTAATCTGAAGCAAATAAACTATTATAACTAGCTTCTCTTTGAAATATTCTCAGTATAAGAAAAATACATCTTTCCAGTATTAAACAATTTCACTAGTAATTTATAACTAAATCCATTGTTTTCACTAAAGAGAATAATACTGGGCCTACAAGTTCAAGAGTTCAAGCTCACTAGTCACTCCTTGGAAACCTTATACAAGGTATATATGGGTCGGACCCAACTCAAAGGCATTTAACAACAACAACAACATATATTAAAACCAGTCCTTTCATGTGTGTGAAGATGTCAATTTTTTTTTATAAGTGTCCAACTTATTGACAACAATTCGAATTGGCAATGCAACCTTACCCTTAATGTGATTTTTCCATCAACTTTAACCCACTTTTCTCCCTTTCTCCTGCCCCTGGTTACCACAAATAAACTTTGATCTCTAGATACTTGCCCTTTTTTTGTCTTTTTATATGTAAAATCATGCAAAGGTTCTTTTGTAATTGGTTTATTTCTCTCAGCATAATATCTTCAAGCTTCATCCATATTGTGGCAGTATCAAGACTTCATTTTTTCCTACTGGCAGAGTAGTATTCCATTTTGTTTATCCATTCATCTGTTGATGGTCATTTAGGCTATTTCTGCCTTGTGGCTACTATGAATAGTGCTTCAGTGAACACTGGTGTACAAGTCTCCTTTAGAACTGCTGCTTTCAAGTCTTTTGGATTTCCACCCAAGAGTGGAATTGGTGGGTCAAGCTCTGGTGGCACAGTGGGTTAAGCATTGGGCTGAAAGGTCAATGGATCGAACCTATTAGTTGCTCCACAGGAGAAAAATGATGCTGTCTACTCCATCTTTACAAGTGTCGGAAACCCTACGGAGCAGTTTCACTCTGTCATACGTGGTCTCCAGGAGTAAGAATAGACTCAGTGGCAGTGGATGGGTAATGATGATG